TGATCTTTGGCGGACTGAGGTTCGCGGTTTTAGTCCTGAGTTCAGGGCTTTAGGGCTTATCAGGATGGTCCCGTTTTCTAAACATTTCCACTCCCCGTGGATACACATCCTCTTCCTTGGTAAGGCCCTGGCTGTCAAAAACTCAAGAAGGATGGTGGTCGTCAGTTTCAGCAAGCATGCCATTCAAAAAACTACCTACAGGGGGTCATGACACAACGGAGTCGAGTCTACACCTGAATTCCATGGGACTCTACTGACAGGCTTTTCTTAGGCCTAACAACACCCGATAAGGTTGATTCCTTTGCATGTGCTGGGCACCCGGGCATGCTATGGACCTGACTGCTGACTAGTAAATCCCCATCCTTCAACAAGTGAAACAAGGGAATTCTGAACAAAAAACATCAATCCTTCTAGAACCAAGGTCTCACTATCAGAGTGCCCCCAGAAAACTGCAAACAGTACTTACTTGGCTACAAGGATCTGGTACTCCATGTACAGGAAGCCTGACACGGCCACTGCCAGGAGCAGAACCGGGGCAAACAAAATGTGCTTGCTCTCAGCGGAAGCAACCTGCTGCTTGGGAGCGGGAATCAAGCAATGCAAATAAAAAAATGCAGACTACTATAATGGGTTACGCAGGGGCTACTATAAGGATCCATTCCTTCAGTCGCTAACCAAGGGTGAGGCTTGTGGCCCTTGAACTTGGTCTCTAGTGAATGTCACAGCCCCCGTCTTGCATCATGTTTATGGGATGATGCCCCTCAAGAGCCTCCCGGCCTCGGGCCAGCAAATTTTGATTCGAGTTGGGCTCAAAACGGTTGGCGATTTTTAGGGCTTAGGGTTTAGGGTTATATAGGGATAATGGAAAAGAAAATGGAAACTACTGTACTATATAGGGTCATATTGGGGTAATATAGGGGTTATATACGGATAATGGAAAAGAAAATGGAAACTATTGGTTTAGGGTTCAGGCTTGCATCAGAAGGGCATAGATCTCCGCCCCAACCCCACATGTGCATGCTGCAAATCCGTCCCTGAATTCTCGAAAGCATCCTTACCAGTCACACCTGCAAAAGTGCACCCTACACCCCAATCCTGGCCATAGGCTTGTCACCTACAGCCCACTGCCTGAATTCTCAACATTGCTCGCAAAAGGCCACCATAGACAGGAAACTGCCCACTTCATTCAATCCCCCAAACCCTGTGACCTACACGGCACCTCCAGATTTCACACCTAAACCCTAAGCCCCCAAACTGTCACAGACTCCTAGGTAGGAATCTCAGGAAACTGGAGGGTCATCCAGAATAACAACCAGAGGGGGATGTAGGCATAACGGTTGTGATTGAAGTGTTTTGTTAGATCCTAAACCCTAGGACCTTAACCCCATATAAACCCTAAACCCTCATTCCCACCCAACCCCAAACCCTAAACCCTAAGATCGCAAGACCTAAACACTGTGCAAGCCCTAAACGCCAACCCGTGAACCCTAAACCCCAAATCCTGAACTCTAAAACCTAATCCCTAAACCCCGAACCCTAAACTCCGTAAACCCTAAAGCCTAATCCCTAAATCCCAAACCCCTATAGTCCCCCTTAAGTAGATAGAATATGGGGGTATATGGGGTTCTCATTATACCCAAAGCCTTATTCTATCTACTTGAGGAGCACTATAAGCCCTAGACCCTAAACCCTAAACCGTAATCCCTAAAAACGCTACGTCCCCTCGTCTCGCTGGGTCTGCGAAACATTCGAATGTAGGCAAGGCACAAAAATACTGAGAATTTCTATACGAAATGCGTTTATGGCAGCCCAAAAAAGGCTTTATCCCAGGTCGTTTTTCTGATCAAAACGTCCCAACATAAAACAGCTTCCAGGGGTGAGCACCTTAACGGGACCGGAAAAATTGCGCATGGTGAGGGGCTCCATACCCTTTGATTGGACCTGCTAAGCCACAAGTTTCAGTAGGATTTTACATGTTGAGAGGCTACGAGTGCGGATGCTCTGGTGACAGTATGCTCTTGGACCACAAACGGAATTACGGATTGGGCATGGATGCTGCGGGACCCGGTATGCTCTTGGAACACGAACGGAATTATGGTTTGGGCATGGATGCTCTGGTGACCGTATGCTGGTGAGCATGGATGTTATTCGAGCCAAGTACATGGCAAGCACCCGGTCGCTTCAGCACCGTCTTTGGGACGGACACAATGGGAGGACAGCAAGCGAGGCATGCCGGAGGACTACATGACACGTGGGCATTTCCCAAGAAGAACGATAGAATTCTGTGCATTTCGTGGCACATCTGACCATGCTCTATACTCAGCGAGACAAGGGGTCGGAGGGCTAAACCCTAATCCCTAAAACCTAAACCTCAATCCCTAAACCTCTGATCCCTACACCTAGCCGCCTTCTCTGCGGCCAGCACGGTGGGCGCGCTTCCGCTGGATTTGCCCTCAGAAGTTGCTTTGCTGGAGCCGGAGTCCGAGTCCTTGTCCTGGTACTAGGGCAAACCCTATTTTGGGTTTACGGTTTAAGGAGTTTAGGGTTTAAGGTTTAGGGATGTTTAGGGTTTAGGGAGTTTAGGGTTTAGGGAGTTTAGGGTTTAAGGAATTTAGGGTTTATAGCGTTTAGGGAGTTTAGGGTTTGGGAAGTTTGGGGTTTGGGGTTTAGGGGTTCGGGTCCAGGGTTTAGGGAGTTTAGGGTTTAGGGCTTTTAGGGCTTAAGGTTTAGGATTTAGGGTTAAGGAGTTTAGGGTTCAGGGTTTAGGGAGTTTAGGTTGGGTCCTGCCCCCACCCATCAACAGTCTATAATAGGGGTTTTTTGAGGGCTCTATATAAATATATCATGAATATTATCAAGCTGCTAAGGGGTGGGGGCAGTATCTAAAGGATAGGGGTTATATCTAAAGGCTATAAGAGGATTATGCAAGGGTTCTATTGGGAATGCATAGGGGTTTTGTGCAGAAGTTATGTAAGGTTCGGCGAAATTACCCCAATGATGGAAAATCAGATGAGCCATAAAATGGAAAATGAAATTGGCACTGGTATGGCATAGAAATTAAGGGCTGAGATGTGCAGTAGGCACATTACAACACACTAGTCTTATCGATACTAGAATTTGTAGAGGACTATCGTTTTTTCCCCATCTAGTCCTGGTATCAACACCTGAAATAATCCCACGGTCTTATGGGGGCTTTCTTGGTTTGTTTAGAGGTTACTGCGCGCAAAATCACAACGAAAAACCCTCAGGCCATGTGCCTCTGAACCCTAAATCCTAGGGATTCCCATGACTTATAATCTAAACTCCTAATACAACACCCTCAAAAACCCCTATAGTAGTCCCATACATAATTCCCTATATAAACCCCCTTTCAGGAGTTTAAACTATAGCTCATATTTCTTCAAAGGCCCTCAAAGTGTTTTCAAAGCAAGGCCGGAGAGCTTAGGGTCGAAGGTCTAGGGTTCAGGATTTGGTTTAAAGTCTAGGGTTTAGGGTTTGTTGTTAGGACGTGATTCTGGACAGCTTTCCAGAACTCACCTCAAAAATGAGCAGTAGTCTTGCAAAGCTTGTTCATTTGTGTAGGGCGGATGTCCAACCGACAATGCTGAGCGCTTTGCTGGGTCCCATCTTCTATGGTGCAGTGAGCCCCCAAACAAACATGGAAGGTCGTAGGTCTATACACCAATGAGCTATAGTCTAAACTCCTGGCATCCCCCTTAATGACACCTACAGTACTCCCCTATATGATCCCCTATGTAACCCCCCTGTAGGCAGTTTAGACTATAGCTCAAATGACAGCAATCGTTTAAAGGCTTCCTTTCCGGTTGCTCCCTTGCGTCGAGGAGTTCGGACGGAGTGCGGAGGGCTTGGGGTTTCTGATTCTGCGCTGCACATGTAGCCTCTGCCACAAACGCTCGCCCTAAAGTAAAGCCTATAGTCCCCTTTAGGTAGACAGAATAAGGGGTATATGGGGATCTTACTAATAATATACCCAAAACCATATTCTATCTACTTAAGGGGGCCTAGAAGCCCTAGACCCTAAACCTTAAACCCTAATCCCCACACCCTAAACCCTAAACCCTAAACCCTAATCCCTGGAACCTGATGCCCACTCTACATCTCTGGCAACCCAGAGCCTCAGCACTCAAGGTTGAAAACTTGATTCTCAACACAAAACCCCTGGACCCTGGATTGGTCCTTTGCTGCGGACTTCTCATCAGAGCTGGAACTCTTCTCGGACTTGGTGGACTTCTGGGAATCCGAGGACTGCGCAATGTACTTCCTGGGGGTTCAGGGTTCAGGGTTTAGGGTTTACGGCTTAGGGTTTTGGGTTTTGGGATCATGGTTTAGGGTTTAGGGATGGGGTCATAAAGGTTGTGGGGGAATTTGAAGGGATGGCAGGGGTCTGGGTTAGGGCTCCTGCTCTAGTCTTCAGGCGACCCTGCGGACTCGAGCTCCTTTTTGTTTAGGATTTGAGTTTAGGGTTTAGTTCTAGTCCCCCTTAAGTAGATAGAATATGGTTTTGGGTATATTCTGATAAGATCCCCATATACCCCATATTCTATCTACTTAAGGGGTTCAGTTATGCATCGGGTTTAAGCATGGATCTACCCGCCCCAGTAAAAGCATGGTAGCTTGCCCAGGCCCATGTTGAAAGGATTAGGGTCCCCTTCCAGAAAATCCATGACTGAAGATTTACACCACAACTCGAGGGCTTAACCCTAAACCCTAAACCCTAAACCCAGATCCTTGGGCTCGGGGGACAAGAACAGCAAGAGTCATGTTCGCTTTTTCTCGGGCTTCTGTATTTCAAGTGCATTTTGGGCGAAGAACGATTAAACTTCTACCTCAACCCCCATAAACAAAGTTGAAAACCCAAGACCCCTGAATCCCAAGCCCCAGGCCCTTCAAATCCTGTGCGAAACTGCGAAACCTAGAGCAGTGCATCCGAACATGACCCAAAAAACAATCCTCCCACCCCCAAACCATGACCCAGCTTCTTATAGTCTCCCTGGGCTCCCTTACCCTGGCCCTGCATGTACTTCTTGTAGTCGGACATGTACCTTGCTTAGGGCTTTGTGGCCAAGAATTGTTTTTTTCAACAACGCCGGGGTTTCGACTTGGGTTTCGGGGTTTACCATACGGTTGTGGGCATCAGCGTAAAGTTCAGATTGAAAGTGTAGGATTCGGGATGACACCATGGTAAACACGATAAGAGAACCTTAAACAACCGCCATTCTTTCCTCACTGCTAACCTATGCCCCTGGGAATTCTGGAACACGACTTGGTCATGCTCTACTCTCAGGGCTGTCGGACGTGCACACTTGTTTTAGATGATATGGATCCTTGACATTCTAATTTTAACTTGTCACACTGACGACGCATGATGATGTTGTGACTGCTATGATGTTGTGCCTGTACGGAACACAGCTGTAGATTACAAGCTGGCTGCAACTTGCATACTTTCTAGCCGAGGATGTGGTTCCTGCAGTTGGAAGACTACAATACTTGGACGACTCTTCCACTAAAAGCTTGCTGCTCCGCAAGGGCCTAGGTGCTTCTGGTAGTCTCCCTGGCTGCCTCCCTGGCCCTTCATGTACTTCTGGTAATCCGACATGTACTTCTGGTAGTCGCCCGGCGCACCCTTGCCCTGGCCTGCAAACAGCAAAGCTTTGTCTGAATGCCCTGGCCCCCCCAAAACCTGTACTGACCTTAGCATCATGTGGAATTGTCGGGTGGAGCTCGCTTCCTATGTCCTTTTTTACTCAATGAACTAGCTCAACTCAGTAAACCTCTCTACGCACGCTCACAGCCCGCGCGAGATGTTATTTTCATGGACCCCCCACGACCCCAAACCCTAAACCCAATACTGCCACTCCTAAGGTTCCTAAAGAGGCTAAGGAAGCTTCGGCAAACTCAGCTGAAAGGCTAGGAAAGTGGAATCCTCATGTGTGCCAAGGACTTAATAGTTCCTCTAGTGAGGCACAAACCTCCACGAAGAGAGCAGCCGACCCATCATCAACTGGTTTTTTGATGGGACAGTTTCTTGTACAAATTCCATATGGTTGAGGTTCTGCAGAACAAACCAGTGAAGCATATCCAACAATGATCCTGTCAACAAATATTCCCTTCACCGTGTGCATGCCTGCAGACTTACTTCATGATCTTTTTGAGCTCTAGTTACTGGGAGCTACAATATTTTTCAGGGATTATATGGGGAACAAATTCCCTTATGTCCTACTAACGCTCAGTAAGTCTAGGGGCCCCCAACTTTGAGAAACTCTCATCTGCCAAGGCTTCCTGGTACCCACCTCCCAACAGCCCGAAGCTAGTTGAGCAGAGAAGGTCCAGGGGAGAAGAGAAAGTAAACTTGTGGTAATTGGTCCCCCAAACTGCCTCCCTGTCCCTGCATGTACTGCTGGAAGTCCGACATGTACTTCTGGTAGTCACCACCCTGCGCGCCGCCTGCATGGCCTGCAATGGTCCCAGTCCGCAAACCCTAGCCCCTAAACCCTCACACGCGGTTTAGGGTTTAGGGTTTAGGGTTTAGGCTTTTCACTTGTGTGCGCCGCCCCAAAAAGCTGGAGCTGTGTGGGGAGCCATCTCCAGCCCGGAAATCCTAAACACCCTGCAAGCCAACAAGAGAACAGGCTGTGAAAACTTCAACGCTGAACCATGTGCTTGAAGGCCCAGGAAAAACACCTCTGCATAGCCGCAATGTGAGCTACAGTCTCAACTCCTAGTATCCCTCTTATAACCCCTACAGCAATCCCCTATATCATCCCCTATGTAACATTGTATAACCCCCTAATTGTAATAGTCCCATATGTAATCTCCTATACAACCCTTTCTAAGGACCCTATATAACCCCCCTTAAGAGAGCTTATACACTGCAATAGTCTCATATACGATCCCTATATAACTCCCCTTAAGGATCATGTATAACCCCCTCTAAGTAGCTTACACCCTAAACCCCAAACCGCATCTTTTTGGAGCTGAGGCCTCTAGAAGGGGGACTGGCTCAGCCAGCACACGAGCGTCACTCCGCATCGCACACGCCCAAACGAAAGCAGTTCGTAATTTATTTGAAATACGTAATCGGCATAAAAGTAGTACTAATAATTTAGGGTTTAGGGTTAGGGTTAATGATGATGATGATAAGGAGTAACAATAGGAATAATACGATAGTAGTAGTAATAGTAGAAACTCCCAGTTGTCTCACAAACTAAACGCCAACGCCACGCACTACAAATTCAAGGATCTTTCATGAACAACTGTAACCTCGCGCCTTGCATGTACTTGTTGAAGTCTGACGCGTACTGGGACATGAACTTCCTTGCTTTGCACAACTCCAAGCTTGTATAAGATTTGGAGAGGGCCTAATACCAAAACTGCATTACGCAACACCAAACCCCTAATTGAAGCACAGAAAAAACTTCACCGCTATTGATTGCACAAGGCTCTGGTAGTCACCCTGGCTGCCTCCCTGTCCTTTCATGTACTGCTGGAAGTCCGACATGTACTTCTGGTAGTCGCCACCCTGACCGCCGCCGGCATGGCCTTCACAGCATGCTTTGTTCGACAGTCTCAAAAAGCTATTGCTTAGCCTGGCAAAATACCAACTAAATCACACAGTCTACACGATGCAGAGCTCTACGCCCACAAATCACCGGACATACTTCCAAAAGAGCTCGCGATACCCGTATTTGCGAGCACCACTTCCGCGCATTATTGTCAGGCGCCGGACAAGATCACACTCAACACGGGCATCATTGGGTTTCCCCAAGTGCGAAATGTGTTTGCTGAAGGTATGTTTTCTTCATGCACTGCTGCTAACTGAGAGATGAGACAAGTACGCCCAAAAGTGGGACCATGATGGTAATACAGCTCCACTCCAACTGACAAACTCGCAAAGCCAAAGATAACCAAAGGTCAACCGCATGTTGGAAAAAAGTGATTG